CCCCGGGTCTGAGAGCTCCCCCGGCGCGAAGCGTCCAAGTTGGATGCGGATGATCTCGGTGCTTTCAGTTCGTCGATGCGGTTGTCCGCTCTCCTGTCGTCCTCCTCTGTTCCCGTCCTCTGTTGGCGGCGGCCTCGGCCGCCCACGATTCAAGCATGGAGCTTCGCTTCGACCGCCGTCCATCTTCGCCCTGAAACGAGTGGGCCCCGATGAGTCGTTTCCCCGTTTTCGGGCTCCTGGGGCCCTCCATTGGCCCCAGGACCGTCAGAACTCGACAAAGGGTGGAGAGTTGGTCCCCCGGGAAGGCCCCAGGACCAAGGACCCGTTTCCTTCGGGAGCCGCTGTTTTCACGCCAGTTTGTTTTCACGTCCAGCAGCCGCTTCGGCCGCGCGTCGACAGTATGGCAACGGACGGCGATGGTCATCAAACGGGCTGTGCGCCCCTCGAGCTCGATGGGGAAGCTTCGGTTTCTTCAGGAAAGTCACCTCTGGAGCTTGCCTGCGCTTGCTCGCTTCGATGTTTGGAAGACGGGCTGGTCGGATTGGAAGAGTTGGCAGGGACGATTTTACGAATTCGCATGACATTTTATGTTTTTTGTTTGTTTGTCCCGGCCCTGTGAACTCAACGAAAGGCTCCACTAAGGAGCCGGGCGGGCGGACCTTGCTGCTGGGGCCTTCCTCCCTCCTCCTCCTCCTCCTCCTCCTCCTTCTCCTTTTCCTCCTCCTCCCCCTCCGCCTCCTCCTCCTCCTCCTCCTCCTCCTCCTCCTTCTCCTACCTCCTCCTCCAATCTCCGTTGAGCCAGAAGCGTCGATTGCGACATGTCGCTGGAGAGAGACCTCTGGTGCCAGCCGGTTCACTACGGCTCCCCGATGGCTGAGCGCGACGCGACCGCAGTCGCTTGATTGTCCGTTTCGGTGCCGTCTCGGTTCCGCAGCGGCCTTCCGGGCGCCCCCTTAAAGCTGCCCACTCTAGACTACTCTTGTCTAGGACGAAGAAGAAAAACGTAATAAAAGATAAACTGCTGGCGTTCCGCGCGCATTTCTTTGATCCGCGCCTGGGCCCCTCTGGCGCCGGAGGCGCCGCCAGAGGGGCCCAGGCGCGAATCCAAGAAGTCCGCGCGGAGCGCCAAAAGCTTTTGTTTATGGCGTTTTTTCGTCTTCGAACTCTTGCCTAGGGTCGCCATGCCGAAAACGTTTCTGAGGTCCATGACCCTGCAGCCTAGCAGCAGCCTGGTGGCCCCCAAGGAAGGGGCCCTCGGATTCGGCGCAGACGACGCGAAGCTGATTTATGAACGGGGCTGGGGCCAAAGCCCCCTGGTCCCTGCCGGCGCCTGCGCGCGTCAGCGCGCACCCCGCGCAGTTCCACGGGCCGGAGAGGAAGGCCTGCCGCGCGATCGAGCCAAGCGACGCGTGCCCCTCCAGCGAGGGGCGGAGCAGGATGTGGAGGAGGCGGAGGTGGAGGACCAGCAGGAGCGACTCTTTTCCGCGATGGCCTGCGGTGCGCGGCTCTGCGAGGGCGTTCGGGGGGGGGGGGCAAGCGCCAGGCCCGAGCACTCAGACAGTCCGCTTCGATTCGGCTTCGGACTCCGATTTGGATTCCGATGTTTCGTTGCCTGCCGAGTTCTGCCGATTCGTCGACTTCTCTGAAGTCGGGCCTGTCCCTCTACGGGAGGAAGATTCAAAACTAGTGAGAAGTAGTCCGGGGACGATGTTTTAGAACATGCTTTAACTCGTTGATGATGTTTGGACTCTTTCTCAGCTTTCGCCCCAAAAGTCTGCCTGCAGGGGGACGTGCCCGACCTGAGGCCAGGCCCGAGCACTCGGGCCGCCACCTGAAGCGCCTGCGCGCGACGACGGGCACGCCGCGCGCCGAAGGCCACGCTTCCCCCAGGAGGGGAAGAGAAACGCACAGGCCTGATGAATCGTCTGCCCCCGGGAAGGAGTGGGAAAGGATGGGAAGTGGGGGGGAAGACGGGAATCAAGAAAACATGAGAAATAATGGGAAATTGCAGACAACACAGAAATTTTGAGGAACTATGGGGAAACATCAATCGTCGACCCCCGACAAAGTATGGGAAAATATGGGAAGTGGGGGGAAGACGAAACTCGAGAACAAACGGGAAACTGTGGGGAATCCTGGGACCTGTGTCTGTGTCTTTGTGTGTGCTCCTGCCAAGGAGGGTGCCTCTTGCGGCCCCCTCGCAGAGGGCGGCTGCCCAGGGCCCGCGGCAGGGCCACACGGCCGGGCAGCTGGCTGGCCGTTATGGTCCCGTGGGCTTAAGTCGGGACAGTCCTTCTGCAGGAGGAATGCTCAAACATAGTTTTTTGTTCAAAGCCTGAGGACGATTTCCTAAGCATGTTTCGAATATTTGTTTGTTTGTTTTTTCTCCGTCCAAAATCCCCCTGTAGGGGGACACGCCCAGCCTGACCGTGGGCCTTCTGGCGGGGCTCCACGCCTCCGAGCCGATGCGATACGATTTCAGTGGCCTCCGTTTCCGCTTCGGTTCGGCTTCGGGTTCCGATTTTGACCGATTGGATGCGGTTTCAATGATTTCCGAGTCCGCTTCGATTCGTCTTCGGACTCCGATTTGGATTCCGATGTTTCGATGCCTGCCGATGTCTGCTGATTCGACTTCTCTTAAGTCGGCCTGTCCCATAGTCCCTCTTCAGGAGGAGTATTCAAAAGTTGTAGAAAAATCATCAGGGGACGATGTTTCAATTGTTTATTTTGCATGTTTTTGGTTTTTCATCCAAAATCCGCCTGTAGGAGGACATGCCCAACCTAAGACTTCTCCCGACTCTGCTGCCGATGTCCGCCGATCCGATTCATTTCGATCGCCGATCCGACTCATCGATTCGATTCTGGGTTCTCCTGCCCTGCGAAGCACCGGTGCGCCTCCTGGGTTGTGGCTCCTGGGAGGCTGAACTCGAGATCGGCCCTGGTGCCCTGGTGGTTCTGCGGTGCCCGTCTGGCCTGATCTGCGAACTTGCGAACACACCCTATCGTTTAGTTAACAGTCCTCGGCGTTCGCTAAAGAAAATCGTCCACTGGCGCATTTACTGAAGGGTCTCGTTTCGTAGGGGTGCGTATTATGCATGTGGCTATAAGGCCATCTACCCTGGCCTTATCCGGCCTAATGGGAGCAAAATATTGACAAATGCTCCCCTCCCTCTAGGGGGCTTAAAATAATTCAGTCGGGCAGACCTATAAAAGCCAACCGCCAGAACTGATGTTTTAATCGTATGCCCTCCTGTAATTTTCCTGCCGTCGCATTCAAACAGATGTTCTATTCGTCCCCCCTGCGCGCACTTGTCCACCCGCGGCGTGCATTTTCGCAGCTGCATTTTCGCAGCTGCATGATGGAGGAGGGAAGGGAAGAGGAGGACTGTCCGCCCTCCGTCGGCCAGGCTCCTGTGGCCCCTGCCGTACCGAATGGCCACCATTGCGGCTTCGAACTGTTACTGTAGCTTTCGGGGTCCCCCCGGCCTCCCTGACAGCCCAGGATTGTCCGCCCTCCGTTGACCGCCGAAGAGAGTGGCAATCGAGTGCCCTCTCTTGGACCCAGAGATCCGACGCTCCAAGCAAAATCGGGGCGGGCGGTTTCTGGCCGTGTTCGGCCAGGCTCCTTCGGCCCCTGCGGCTCCGAACTGCCCCCACCCCCCCCCCGCGGCTTTGAAGTGTCAGCCCGTGAGCCCCCGCCTTGGCCCCCCCCCCAGACAGCCCGAGACTGCCTGCCCTCCGTCGGCCTGCCCCCCCCCCCCCCCCCCTCCCTATGGTGGGGGCAGCCAGGCCAGCGAAATGATGTGTTTTCCTCGTCCGCCCCAGACGTTTTTTCGCTCGCTTGTTCCCTCCAGTTTGGTTGACTGCCGCAGCGGCTCGGTTTGGCGTGGCTCAGTTGCCATTCGAAGCCACCCGGTTTTTAGAGCAGCCCCCGCATGGGCCTCAGCAGTCGTGAACCGCGCCCGCAAAGACCCTCTGGGAGCTGCCTCCTGACATCTCGAGCCTCAATTTCCACCGGGGCTACGGGTGGCGGATGGGGGTCTCCACCCGAGGGGGAGCCCCCTCGGAGCGTCCGACAGCTCGCGCGTCCCCAAACGGCGAGGCGCGAGCCGGGCTTCTCCATCAGCTCAAGCATCAACCAGTCGCCCATCGATCAGTGAGGCCTGTCGCGGGAGAGCGCCCTGCTCTCTCCGTAGAGGCAGCCGTGGTCTTTTACCTCCCCTGGGGCTCACACGTCAGGCGATCGCAAACATGGATCAAGGGGGCGTGGATTAGCGACGGGCCCCGTTTCCATAGGGGAATCGCGGATTTCCGCCGCCGAGCGAGGTGGCACCGGCCGCATTTTGGGGTAGGCACCTCCCCCGATCCATGGATTTGGCGACCCCACGCCAAATCCATGGACCGCTAATCCATGTTTGCGTGCCCCCGAGGAGGGGGAAGAGGGAGGGGGCGGAAAGCGGCATGGGCGCGCGTTTCGCCTCGGCGGAGCGGAGCATGGAGGAGGAGGGGAAGAGTGAGGCGCGGAGGAGGAGGAGGGGAAGGTGGAGAAACAATGATGATGATGATGATGATGATGATGATGATGATGATGATGATGAGGATGAGGATGATGATGATGATGATGATGATGATGATGATGATGATGATGATGATGATGATGATGATGATGATGCGATGATGATGGATGGATGATGAGGATGAGGATGAGGATGAGGATGAGGATGAGGATGAGGATGAGGGGAGAGGATGAGGATGAGGAGGAGGAGGAGGAGGAGGAGGAGGAGGAGGAGGAGGGAGGGGGCGAGACGAGGAGCGAGGAGGGAGGAGGAGGGAGGACGCGGAGGAGGAGGAGGAGCAGGAGGAGGAGGAGCAGGAGGAGGAGGAGTCAGCAGTCAGGAGGAGGACTACGAGGAGGACGTACAGGAGTCCCCGCCTCTCCTCCTCGCCTGCTTTCCCGGAGTTGCCGGGCGACCGACGCCCGTCCTCGCCCCTGGCCACCGAGCAGGTCCTGTGGCGCCGCGCCGCGGGCCCCACCCTGGGCGCGCCCGGATACCGTACCCGCGCGGCTTGCTCCGAGGCATTCATTTTACGTGGGGTGGGTGGGCCGATGCCAACATTCCTCCTCTTCCTCCTCCTCCTCCTCCTCCTCCTCCTCCTTCTCCTCCTCCTCCTCCTCCCCCTCCCCCTCCCCCTCCCCCTCCCCCCCCCCTCCTCCTCGCGCGGCTTACTCCGAGGCCGGCATTTTGCGAGGGGTGGGTGGGCGGGTGATGAATATCGACGAAAAAATGCATATACATAACCGTTTGGCGTTCCGCGCGGATTTCTCGGAGCCGCGCCTGGGCCCCCCTGGCGGCGCTCCGCGCGCTACGGAGGGGGCCCCAGCGCAGATCCAAGAAATCCGAGCGGAGCGCCAAACGTGTATGTTTATCCAGTTTTGTTCCTCTCCTGGTGGGGGGGCGGGTGGTGAATAGGTACCTGAATTGCTACGAGTCTCTCGTCGCCACGGCTGCATTCGCCTCGAAGCCTCGGTCGGAACGCACCCAGGTAGATAGAGGTCCTGGGAGCAGCGGCGTCGGCCTTTTGTTGTTGTTCCGAGGCAGCGGCACAAGCATAGTCTTTGGGAGGTCCGTGCGGATGTCCTTCTGTCGGCGCTGGACACCCGGCGGCGCCTCCAGCACGGCCAGGATCGAGCGCTTGTCCCTAGAAGTCGGTGCGGACCTCCAAGGTTACAGTGGAGACCCATGCCAAGAAACACCCTGCTTGCCTGAAGGGTGCCCTGGGTTTCTTGGTTTTCCATGGTCTTGCTGTGGGAAGCGTGACGTGCCCACCCAACAAATCAATAGTCGTCCTGGGGTATCGGGGTTGGGTTTCTTGTGGAAGGTTTCTTGTGGACTTGGCCTCCACTGAACGTGTATGTGTTGGTGGTCGTTTTTTATTCGTTGTTTTGCCGATCGTCGCGGGCCCTCGCAGCCCCCCCCCCTTTCCCCCCCTGGAGTAGATCTTGGCTGTTTTGGGCGCTTGTTTCGAGCAGGTGGAGTCCCCCCTCATAGGACGCACGGTTCCGAACAGTCGCGTGAAGCAGAGGTCTGGAGCCAGACCCCCCCCCTCCACCCCCCACTGGTGTGGGCCTCCACTGTATGACGGAAGGCGCGCGTAGCGCCGCGGTGTCCATCAGCCGAGAGGACAAACGAGGGGGAGTGCGAGGGGGTTGGCCTCGGCGGCCCCCCCCTCCCCCCCCTTTGCGCCCAATGTCGAAAGGCCGACTACTGTAAACGCTCATTCGGGGGACGTTGGCGATACCCCTCGGCGATCTCGGCTGCGTCGATCCCCGGCCCGGTGTGGGTGCTTGTGGTTCCCTGTGTCACGTCAGGAGGGCACATATATAGATCCTGGGCCCAGGACGGACCTGGCCAGTATCGGACCTGGACCTGGCCAGTATGAGATCCTCCTCCTCCTCCTCCTCCTCCTCCTCCTCCCTTTTCCTCCTCCTCCTCCTCCTCCTCCCTTTTCCTCCTCCTCCTCCATCTCATCCTGCTCCTCCTCCCTCCTCCTCCTCCTCCTCCTCCTCCACCTCCTCCTCCTCCTCGGGTCGCGGCCCCGGGGGAAACCGTGCAGGGTCGTCCCCGACATCCCTCGAATTTGGAACCGTTATTCCCGGACCCCAGGATCCAGGAGACAGAGGACAGGAATGTCTTCGGGTCCCCGGAGGATCCATGCCCATTGCCTCCAGAGGTCTTGAGACATTTGTTCCCAACGCGGCGGATCTGCGCACATTCCGTCCTCTGGCCCACGGCAGGCATTCGCCGCGTCGACGCGGTGGCGACGCCAGCGTTGGCAGCCCCGTTACCGATTTGTTTTGTCGGACAGCCGAGATCCAAGGGCGCCCTTGAGGGCGCGAAGTTATTCGCACTTCGCGCTTCGCGTTTCGGCTCCGATTCCTCCTAATCCTCCTCATCTCCTCTTGGAGGCGGCGCGAGAGCACGAAGTTATCCGCACTTCGCGCTTCGGTCAGCGCAAAGCGCGAAGTTGGGAGCCCTTGAGATCGCTCAATCCTGAACGTCTTGCAATCAGACCTTTGGATTGGCTTCTTCGTCGTGTGTCGGCAGGGGCCCGATAGTCCTGGGAGGTATTCCGTGGGTCTTCCTTGGCGCTCCTCGTGCATTTTGGCCTCGCTGGGTCCCCAGAGGGCTTCTGTTCGATCTCCAGGGTTGCGCCGATGCCTACATTCCTCCTCCTCCTCGTCATTTTCCTCCTCCTCCTTTTCCTCCTCCTCCTCCTTTTCCTCCTCCTCCTTTTCCTCCTCCTCCTCCTCCCCCCCTCCTCTCCGCGGCGGCGCTCCTGCGCATCGCCTCCCCGAGCCTTTTCACCGCAGCTCGAGGGAGCGGTGCGGCGACGCCCCCCTGACCGCGCGGTGTCGGGAACGAGGAACAGAAGCAGCACAAGCAGAAAAGCTTGAGACCACGCCGATTCTGCACAGTGGAGGCCCATGCCAAGTGACACCCTGCTTGCCTCCAGGGGGCCCTGGGTTTCTTGGGTTTCGATGATCTTGCTGTGGGAAGCGTGACGTGCCCACCGCGAAAATCAATAGACGTCTTAGGCTCTCAGGGTTGGGTTTCTTGTGGAAGGGTTCTTGTGGACTTGGCCTCCACTGAACGTGTATGTGTTGGTGGTTGTTTTTTAATCGTTGTTTTGCCGATCGTCGCGGGCCCTCGCAGCCCCCCCTCCCCCCCTGGAGTAGATCTTGGCTGTTTTGGGCGCCTGCTTCGAGCAGGTGGAGTCCCCCTCATAGGACGCACGGTTCCAAACAGTCGCACGAAGCAGAGGTCTGGAGCCAGACCCCCCCCCTCCACCCCCCACTGGTGTGGGCCTCCACTGTATGACGGAAGGCGCGCGTAGCGCCGCGGTGTCCATCAGCCGAGAGGACAAACGAGGGGGAGTGCGAGGGGGTTGGCCTCGGCGGCCCCCGGACGTCGGAAAGCGCGCGCAGCGTCGCGATCCTTTCGGAGGTTGCCAGGAGGGTTCGTTGGACAGGGTTGGTTTCGCTGGACTCGAGGTCCCTCCAGCCCGACCTTAGGCACTCCAGCACGACCTGAGGCACCCCAGCATTCGTCGAAATCACCCTTCTTGAACCAGACCTCCTCGCCGTCCTCGATCCGTTGGTTGGGAGAAATAACAGGGGGGGGAGGAGGCAAACCGGGGATCAGATCGAATTGCCAAAATGTCAATCATATTCGGCCCACGGCCCAAGTCAGCCCCAAGAGCGCCGAAGAGGCCCCCAAGACGGCCCAAATAAAACCCCCAAAGCGCCCAGGATACTTCCAAGACGGCGCTGGAGAGGTCCAAGAGGGCCCGAAGACGGCCCAAGGTTGTTCAGAGAGAACCGCCCCAGAGACCCCCAAGACGGCCCAAGTGGGCGTCAAGACGACCCAAGAGAGCCCCAAGACGGCCCAAGAATTGCCCCTGAGGGTTCCAACAAGTTTCCAAGAGAGCCCCAGGAGGGCAACAGGAGGTCCTCAAGGGGACCCAGGAGGGCCCCAGAGAGCCCCAAGACGGCCCAATCCCGCCAAGACGGCCCAACAGGGTCCAGGGCGGGCCAAAAGGGCCCCAAGACGGCCCAAAAGAGCCCCAAAAGGACCCCCAGGAAGGCCCGGAAATGCAGCATTTCCATTGATCTTCGCAAGGTCAGTGACTAGATTGTGTTATGTTGCACCGAAGCCTTGACACCAGCAAGGCTTCAAGACACTACGCCAGCGACCTCGCGCCCTCGCAAAATCAACGCGCTTTCCGTCCCCGTGCCAAGCAGGTAAATGAACAAGCGAGGTACGAGTGATGTCGTTCCTGTGTGGGGCGAAGCCCCTTAGGGAGAGGTGAGGAGCGAGGCGGACCCTGATCGGATGTAATGGCCGCGGCTCCCTGGCGGCTCCCATGGCCTGTTTCCTAAATGTTTGTTTCTAGTGGAACGGCCAGAGTCCCCAAGAGGGCCCCAAAACGGCCCCAGAGGGCCCCAATACTGCCCCGAGAGAGCTTCAGATGGCCTCCAAACGGTCCAAGAGAGCCTCCAGACCGCTCCAGAGGCCCTCCAGAGGGTCCCCAGAGGGTCTGAGGAGGCCAAACACATTGATTTTCCATTGGTTTTTGTAGATTTGTTGGTTCCCCCCTTTTCGGATCCAGAAGGGCCCCAGTTGGCCCAAGAGGCCCTAAATATCGTCCCAAGACGGAACCAGAGGCCCCCCAGAGGGGCCGAGAACGGTCCAAGAGGGCCCTTGGGCCCAAGACTGCCCAAGAGGCCCCATGCAAAGATCGTCCCAAGACGGCCCCCCAAAGGAGCCGACACTGGTCCAAGAGGGCCCCCAGACGGCCCAAGAGGGCCCAAGACGCCCGAAGGTGGCTCCAAGGCGTTCCAAGGGGCCCCAAAGACGCTCCGAGAGGGCCCCGAGAGGACGCCAAAGAAGCACAAATCGTCAAATTCGTATTGGGAAACGTATACTTTCAGCATATCCGCCTTTTCTAATGTTACGCGGTCCAAAACAGGCCAAGAGGCCCCCCAAATCGCCCCAAGTCGACCCAAGCGGCCCCCAAGAGGGCCCCAAGATGGCCCAAGAGGGCCTCAAGACGGCCCAAGAGGGCCCCAAAACGGCCCAAGAGGCGCCCAAGATGGCCCCAGGAGAGCTCCAAGAGGCCCCAAGAGGCTCCCGAGAGGGCCCCAAGAGGCTGCCAAGAGAGCCCCAAGATGGTGCAAGGCCTCCAAGACGCCCCAAGATTGCCCAAAGGGGCCCCCAAACGGTCCATAAGGGCCACAGACGGCCCAAAGGGCCCCAGAAGGGCCCCCAAACGCCGGAGACGCCAAATACAAGAGCGATCGGAAACGCAAAATGCTCTTCATACCAAGGCCCCCAACAGCGAACGGTGATGTAAACAACTCTCAACACCAAGGCTCCCAAGAGCGAACGGTGACGTAAACAACTCTCAACACCAAGGCTCCCAAGAGCGAGCCGCAAAGTAAACATCTCTGAACACCAAGGCCCCCAAGAGCGAGCGGTGACGTGACAAGCTCTGAACACCAAAGCTCCCAAGAGC